TAAGTTGTAAAAGCAAATTCCTAGCTGATTTACTCACTAGAGATGTTGAATCATAAGTATGCCTTGGTGATTTGGCAATGACACCATTAATCCAATATAAGTATATTCCCAATTTTTTCGCATTTTAGTAGCCCGTCGTCAGTGGACTGCATATCCATGCCTTCAAGCTAAAGCTCGTCAAAGTGATAAGCAAACTCAAACATTATACTAATTTTTTGTATGCTTGTGGCACATTTCTTGACACTGCCTTTGTACATTTCATTACCTATATCACCTAGCGCTTATCCATCCCACCAACTTCAGTTAGCTAAATTCCCTATCTATCCTGGTAGGAGTATTCTATTGTAGAAATATACTCCAAGTATGCATCCCTTCTAGTAGGTTTGTTGAGGCTCATCTATCTTCAATAGCGGTTTCCGATTTCGTCTGCAGGACTTCTTGATCCGAATTAGTACCTCTATTCGGTAAGTTATCTTGCTCAATTAATCTATTCTTGGTAATTTATTACTTATCAAATTATCTTATTAACCTCTGATCACAACCACAGTATTCGCAATACTCTATAAATTACTCATATGACTGACCAATGAAATATGATTTTTCGCGTACGATAGCCTGACTCAGAACAGTCCTCAGAATCATGATTCTCTTATCTATATCTTATAATTTTCTAATCAAGTTTTGCATGCTTATTCTGTATAAGTTACATTGTACCCTTGTTCGAAGGATTTTATTTACTAAATCTTTATTTGCATAACATGAAACGTTAATCAGAGACTTTCTTTTGTCCGTATGATGAGACTGAAGAATTAGAGATATTTTTGCATAATATTTCTTTCTGTGCCAACTTTACTTAAGAGTAGCATTGAGTTTATCACTTATATTCATAAAGTAAAGAAGGCGTTTTTAAAATTTACAGAATTCATATCAAAACTCTAGCTAGATCTTTAATTATTCTGAAAACCTTAATTCATAAAATTGGTGACAAATAACTGGGAATCAAACGAATAGTTTTGTAGGAAGACAAAGGAAAGGCAATTTTATGGGTATATAATGTATATATACAAAGACAGACTCAGACTATAGATGAAAGTAACAAGTAAGATCATTACTCAAGACCTAAGTTGTAAAAGCAAATTCCTAGCTGAATTAAGGGTTGCCTACAAAGTATGTAACTAACGCGTAACCGTACAAGTGGAAAGTAAACTCATTTCTTTGATGAGCTGCTATACCTCAAAATAGCTATGGTTCGCCGAAAATAAGTAAAGATAGAGTTATACTTATAATTACTGTTAATAACAAAAGTTTTGCGATACATAAAAAATCACGATTCTTTTTACTAATTAAAGCAAATATCCTAGACCTGGCATACCTTATTAATTTTCGTATGTAAGTAGAGTTTCGAGACTACCATTAAATCAGTAATATGTAATGTATTCACCCTAGTTTGTTTAAAGTGATGAAGGACTGGTAGTAAAATTTCCCGACAATGATATGAGTAGAGCTGACGTTTCCGTTGAATTTCACATGGCCTTGTTTTCACAAAAGTTGTTCTTATCCAGGATGGACTGTAGTTTCAACCTCGCATATTTCTTATCAACACTCTCAGCGGGAGTCGAACGGTGACAGTGCAGAATGTGAGCTTAAAACGTTATCCACTCGACCACATTTCCACTAGTGCCCTTGGGTCACAGGGCAGTTGTTAATTTCAAGGAATGCCAGGCCTTTTATGAAGTATACACTTAAGAAGTGAGTCAATAAAGGTATTAATAAATATGAAAATGAGCTGAATTTGCTTTATCTCTAATGGTAATTCGTAGGGACAGTGACGGTATTTGGCAATTGGATTAAGCTTGCCGAAAATGTAGATGCCTACTACATGGACCAATTAGAGAGTCGTTTAATTAAGAGGTACTTTTACTCCTAACATTCATAATTAGCTCTATGGATGTCTAATTTTTTTATTGGTAATAGAAAATCATGCATAGAAAATGTCCTATAGTAGATGAGAATTGTAAATCCACTAAGGAATTAGAAAAGGATGGTTATTGTCCCAATAAAAAAGCGGAAACTTGTATAAATGTGCTTAGAAAGCCAATAAATGTGTGTTTTATTTTAAATTCCCTTGTAAATGACGTTTATGGAGGCGAAGTAAAAGTAATATAACTAGTATTAGTTGGTAAAAGTTATCCATCAGGAGAAATAGACAAATATTGGCAAATATGATGAAAATAAACATCTATTAGGAGCAAGCCACTCTTCTGGACTAATCTATTGTGGCATTACTTTCCATCTCGAAGAAAAGGTTGGTTGGAAATATTTTTCGACGTGGTCTTACTAGAAACTGAAGGAGGAATGCCGCGTATGAGAGACTGTTGTATTGTTGGAAGAATTCCTCGGCTCACCGTCCTGCGACACCAAAAATCTCTGCTAAGATTTCATCCGTACTATGACAGACATTATCAGAGCAGGAGTCCATGTTTCACGAAATAGCTATAAGATATACTAAGCCAAGAGAAAAGATGGCTGGGCGCAACCCTAGTCACATTTGTATACACCTAACTTTGCGATCTTAATGAGGCATCCCATGATTTGGTTAGCCACTTCAACCTTACTCTATCTTTCTGCAAATAAAGTGAATTTACTTTAAGAACTGTGTTGGATGGCAACTGTTTTGATACACAAATAGGCTAGTTTACGATTCTCTAATATTGATTCGTGTTCGGGCTTGAGTTATTGTTTATTGTTAGTATGCAATTTTCATTTCGTGGGAAGTGTAATTGTCCTAGCTAGACTCAAAGCTAATCCAGCCTCCTTCTCTCGTTTAGTGGTTCTTCCTGCACTCCCTCTTTCTCCCTCTCCTTGAGCCTATCCAAAAACCGCAAATAGTCCCTACTCAGTTTTCTACACTCCTGCCTCCTATTCTGGACGTTGACTGTTTTGTTAATTTGCATATTTTCCTTAATCTCATGCTGTTGTAAAGTCCCCGCAACCACAAAAAAGTAGTTTTTTGAACCAGTCTTTTGAGTGCCTTTTATCAGGGAATTTAGGTCATTAAAATCGACTCTGGTTGCTGTCGGCCACATTTTCTCTTGGTTGAGTATACTTTCGCTCTATTTCGTAAATTATGGATTCCAGCTCTGATGCTGCCTGTCCAGTACCGAAGAAAGCTTAGCACAGCTTCATTAAGGTCTCAGGATGATGAGCCGAAGACTTCTTTGCACAAGTAAATAGTCTTCCTTACACGGAAATCCTCCGTCGGTATCTGGTGAGATCATATCAAGAATTCCTTTAAACCAACTCTTCCTTCTAAATGGAATCTCATGTCATAATATGTCACTAAGGAATTCTTCCCAACCCAGTTTTTCTTCATATCTGGACTAATCAACATTTTTCATCATATTACTATCCTATCAGTTCTCTGATAATATAAGCGAAGTATTGTGGTAGTATGAAATAGTCACTATGTAAAAGGATAAAAAACAGATTTTCCTTTGTAATGTCATCCTTGACAAATTTTCAGACCCCCTCTTCAAATTTGGATATAGCACCTATGCATGAGATAAGACCTTATCTGTAAATAAAACAGCCTGCAAAAATCAGGACTGTCGAAACACATGGCGCGCACAGAGCACCAAGCAGGCTAAGCTAAAACATAAAGCTTGGCAGGATAAGGAAATTATACCTGCAAACAAAAAATCAGAAAGTCTTTTAAAATCTAAATAATCAGCTAACACCATGAATGGACGAAGTTAGTGTAATAAATTAAGCGCAAACCACTTGGAACTGTTGGAAAAAATTGGGGATGGAGAGAGGGAACAATATTACTGCAGAGTTAAAGGAGGCATAATTAGTCTCCAAAATAGTTGAAACTCAGAAACCTCAGACGACTCATTAGCATTTTATGCATACAGTTTAACGATGCACAGGAGAAGTGGAATGCATTTTGATGCGTCAATATTGTAAACCAAAAAATATGTTTTATTTAGGTGAGGATACAGATGCACAAGCCCAAATACATCTTCACGCACCATCTGAAGCCGCTTCATAAGGAAAAAATAGTTTATACAAGATATCCCAACAAGCACAAAAGTATGACTACAAGTGTATGCATAATTGCAACCGTCCATATTTTTTGTCTTCATGATTGGTGAATTATTATAATGCATGGTACCTTGCAATTACGTCATATGTTACATCACTTTCAAAAGCTAAGCACGAATTTATTAGGGTCGCAGGACACTGAGCTGAGGGCATATGCCTTATTATTTTTATATGATGAACAATTTTGTGTGCACACCAAAAAATTAAGTGTTCATGAAATAGTATGAAAGGAAGAACGTTCTAGAGGGATGGCATAAAAATGTTACATCATAAAGGTGGAGTAAATCTGCCGTTAATGCAAATACTGCTGACAATAATGGAAAGCAACAAAAGACTTTACTTCAAATTGTGAAAAGTATCGTGCGAATGAAAAATTGGAGAATTTTTATTTGCAGATATTGTGACCCTTTAGCATATTAAGTGATATCAAATAAAACTAGGATAATCGTAATAAAAACAAACGGCTAAATCATATTTTCGAGTGGCTCTAAGCAACCACATTTGTACTGTAAAGATGCTTAAGTCGT